AATGTGAAAATCAATTTTGAAAAGTCGGAAAAGGCAAGCGGTATTCGTTCTGCCCGCCTGGTCTGGGCACCAACAAAATGGCAGGTTCTTCCATGCATCTTTTGGTGCTCTAACCGCCTCAACACACCCTCACCATGCAAAAGAATCTCATCGCTCTCGGACTTGCCTTGTCCATGTCTGGAGCATTCGCTCAGGTTCACCTGAACATGCCTGATGTTGGCGCCGTCGATATCGATGGCGGCAATGTTCGTTTGAACGGGTTTGGGACAGGGACAGTGAGCGTGGGGAAAAACATCACGGTCCAGTCCTCGGGCATGACCGGGGCATCAGTTCGCAGCCATCAACCATCGGCGGGCTGCAAGGATGGCGTCTACACGCTCACGCTGAGCGGCGTAGTCGAAAAGAGTGTTCCTGCCGTTGAGTGTCCGACCGTCTATATCCGATTGAATGGCAGCACGGTTCTGAAGGTGCCAATCATTCAGGCGAATCGGCTGGTCGTCGAGCAGAATGGAACCAGCGAGATCGAGGTGGCCTCCATCAACGCCCAATTTGCCGATCTGCGGCTTTCTGGTGGTGCTGAGCTCACGCTGGGTGGAGGTGCCATCACAAACGCAAAGATCGACACCCGTGGAACGTCCTATTTGAAGGCTGCTGGAGTTGCCATGCACCAGGTTGTAGTGGCGGCGACTGACGCGGCGTCATTGGACCTTCGAGTGACCGGATCTATAACTGGTAAGGCGCAAGGTGCCAGCACCATCAATTTCACCGGAACCAGCAACGCAAGCATCAGCGCAGCTGGCAGCGCGACGATTAACCGGGACTGACTTTTTGAAACCTGGGCATCGTCTTTTTGTGTCCGGGGCTGTTGAACCTTCTTGAGTGTTTTGATTTCGGCAAGAAGGCCGCACCATGTTGCAGAACATTCACCTCCACACGGTGTGACTTTTCGCACATGCTGATGGGTAGGGCGAAAGTCGCTACAACGCCTGCCAAAAACAAAAACACCATGAACCGCGATCAGGCAACCCCTTTCATTAACCATTTGCTCAAGCTCATGCTGGGTCGAGGTGGAAGCGATGTGTTTATTACGGCAGGATTTCCGCCCGCCCTCAAGATAGACGGTAAAATCGTCAAAATATCAGACCAGCCCATGAAAGCGGCGCAAACAACAGCGCTGGTCCGAGCGGTCATGAACGACCGCCAGCTCGCTGAATTCGAGCGCACCAAGGAGTGCAACTTCGCCATTTCCCCACCAGACATCGGGCGCTTCCGGGTCAGCGCATTTGTGCAGCAAGGCCAGTCCGGTATGGTGCTCAGGACGATTCCGGCCCGCATACCCACCATAGATGGACTGGGCCTGCCAGCGATATTGAAGGAAGTGGCGCTGTCACGGCGCGGCCTGTGCATCTTTGTCGGGGCCACCGGTGCTGGAAAATCCACCTCCCAGGCTGCGATGGTGGACTGGCGCAACGAAAACACGCAAGACCACATCATCACCATTGAAGACCCCATCGAGTTCGTGCATCCGCACAAGAACTGCGTCATCACGCAGCGCGAGGTTGGGCTGGACACCGACTCCTGGGAAGCAGCACTGAAGAACACCTTGCGCCAGGCGCCCGATGTGATCCTGATGGGCGAAATCCGCACGCGGGAAACCATGGACCTCGCCATGCAGTTTGCGGAAACCGGGCATTTCTGCTTGGCAACATTGCATGCCAGCAGTGCCAATCAGGCGATGGAGCGCATCGTCAACCTCTTCCCAGAAGAGAAGCGATCACAGTTGCTGATGGACCTGTCGCTCAATCTGCGGGCCTTTGTGTCACAGCGTCTGGTTCCGCGGCAGGACAAGATGGGTCGCTATGCTGCAGTGGAGGTGATGCTGAACTCGCCGCTCATTGCCGATCTGATCGCGAAAGGGAGCGTGAGCGAGATCAAGGAGATCATGAAAAAAAGTCGGCAAGCGGGCATGCAGACATTCGATCGGGCGCTGTTCGAGGCGTTCGAGTCCAACCTCATCACGCTGGAGGATGCCTTGCGTCACGCCGACTCGATCAACGACTTGCGGCTGCAAATCAAGCTCAGTAGCCGCCGTTTCAAGGCTGCTGCAAACTTGGCAACGGGAGCCGAACACCTGGCGATTGCCTGACGTTGGTTCTGGCGGTGGTAACACGGGCGTCGTCGGCGCGGTCAAGCACATTGGGCACGATCAGT